ATTACTCTTCCGGAGAAGACAACAAGAGGTTGGCTCATCCGTAACGTGACAAATCGACATGGGGAAGCTCGTGAGCGCTTGCTAGGCTGGCTCGATAATGTCGCTCGCGCTAGGGCCAAATTAGATCGGACCGATATGCTGGAATCTACCGTTTTCCGGATGCTCGAGCCCGGAATCGATTCTAGAATCCATGCCACACAGATCGCAGCCAGCCTTGAGGATTTGAAAGTAACCTTGGGCGGCAAACCTCACTTCTCAAACTTGCAACCGCACTCGGTCAGGGACAAGGAGAAACCATCTGAGAAGGGGGATCGCACAAAAAGGAAAGCTCGGCGGACAACTTCTGACTAGGCAGCTTCTCTGACACATTTGGGGCTTTCCCATGTAACCGGGTAGTTCGATCATTGCAATCGGCCGTGCCACCTTTCAACTTACGAAACAGAGTTATGAACCCTCGTCGCTGCCCAGATTGAATCCCAAACTAGCAGGCGTCTGAGGTAAGGCCTTTTCCTGAGCCATGGTCTCTGACGAGATCTACAAAACCAGATAGTCCTCCGGGCATTTCTTTCAGACATGGTGTCATGTCCTTATCACGCAAAGGGGTTCGCAAAAACACCTTATATACACTTCATCTAGTGAGCCGTTTCAGAGCAACCGTCCAATATTAGTATTTCGAGGAAAAAACATCTGCCTATAATCAGAAATCCTGGGATTTGAGTAATAAGCAAAACCGCGTCTTCATTATGTGTGTATTATAAGTAACCGCGGTATACATATATAAAGAAGAAGAAAAAGCGATGTCCCTACTACTGTAGGGAGAGGCCTTTAAACAATAAGTGTCAGACTGCCTCAGCACATTCGCTACGGTAATTGTTTCACCTCGAGCGACCTGACTTATGCTTAACCAGTGGTATGAGAAAGGCTAGCAAGGGTATCCTTATACAAGGGGATCGCACACTCATTATATAGATATGGGGTTCCTTTCCATAGCCATCCATTCGATATACTCATCAATACACACAAAATGACCCTTGCCTGTCTGACTGCTGCTCGACAGTAAGTATCGTAATGACCCGGCTTAAAACAATTGCATCGACCCACATCCTTGCGACAAGCCAGCAGGGCAAGAGGTGGTGCCTCCGGGAGGGCGCAGCACGCGCTGCATTGAAAACAGTCCAAAGTGATATCCCGGCGGTAGCTGATCTTAGCCTGCTCGAAATCCACTGCCGCGATACAACTACAACTCACTGTGTCACGCAAGGCACTACGTAGCTTCGCATCGCGGTGAACGTCCCGCAGCTTATGCGTTTTCTTTTACGCTTGGGGAACCGCGTCGACCTTGGCGGCTTCATTGGCGATGTCGAATAGTGCGGCGCCACCTTTCTGAGAAGGCGTCTCTTCAGGTGAAGCAAGACCCATCTGAACTTCCTTACAAGGGAAGCACTCATAAAGCTCTGCGGATCATCCGATTGGACGCCCATGGCAGGGGCGGACCGCGTCAAGCCCAGCGTGTTGGTGACATTGCATCCGACCTTTCTACTGGCTGAGGGCGGTCGTAGTTCCCCGGGTTCTGTACCCATTGTGTCTCGTCGAATTCTCGGCTAGCTATTATCTGATCCACGGACGCAACGATGTGGCTGCCTCTTGCCGCCACGGTGACTGGCATCCACATCGATGTCACTGTTGGTCGAGCCTTCACAGCAGCAACCAATGCGTCGAATGATCGGTAAGCTACAAACAGACAACCATTTGGCAGCGGAGTCTCGATTGCGCCGTACTTGAGCGAATCGTATTGTTCAGTTGTGACTCCTCTAGTATGGCTTATTTCTGGCTAACGTCCTATGACTTTGACCATGTCGAGCACCCAAACTCGACTGTTGCAGTCGGGCTGCATGGCCCAGACCTTTTGCTAGCGTGCTGGATAGCCGCCATTCTTCCGTGCACCGTCTTGTTTGTGCACCGGCAATCTACCCCGCACTTTACCCCACTTCATGAGATTCTACGTAAGCAGCTTTACCTCTGTGGACTTCTGCTTATGCAGTATTTTTAGAGCGAAAACGCGCGGAAGTGTATTTGTTAAAGCAGGATGGAGCTGACGCGGCTCACCTCAAGGCACAAATTTGCGGAAATGGGTTGGGTAGGGGGTCGGCGTTTCTCAAGTGAACCTCAAGCGGAGATAAGCGCATAACACTTTGTAGACGAATCACCAGAAGTAAGCCATAGAGAACTGTTGTAGCATCAGGTTCGGTATCTTGGATCATTGAATCACCAAGAACAAAAAGATAGCCGGGCTACAGTCGGTACCTCCGGCCCACTGCTAACGGAGTACCCGCATCGTGCCAATTCGGATATTCTCGGCAAATGCGTGGCCGTTTGTTGGACCAACATTAGCGCGAAGGCCTCCGACACCCTTTCCACTCGACCGTAATCATCTCCACTTCTAGGCGGTGCGTAACAACCTGAACAGCATGTCAATCAAGGCAAGCCTGGGTTCGGTGTATTCATTCACTTGCGATCCCATAGCTTCCGCATGTACGTACAAGCAGCCTCAGTGACCTGTCCACGCTCAGAGATGATAGCAACCTAATGCATTTTCTGCCCAGTTCAGAGCCAACTTGGAGATTTTCCAGGTTGAGGAAGGTATCAAAGATGTGCTATTGGTACACGATTAGTGATCAAATGCAGATGTGTGATGTCCACAGGGATATAGGGCATGAGAAGGCGGTTCTGTGGACTTGAAATCCAAGTACTCGCCTCAAGCTAGTTGAACCTCCATCAGAGCACCTGCTCCGCTGCATGCCTCTTACTGAGTCGGGGCCGCTGGAAGTGACGTGCTAGGTTTCCAAAGGGTCTCGCCTATGGCCGTATGCGCCCTTGCACATTGCCATGTAGCTGCGGTCCACTATTAGGCCGCTGGTGCCTTTGATTGATTGCCCAGACGCCTGTTAGAGCACAAATTCAGGAGGTAGTGCTATGAAACCGTTTCATTGGAGTGCCTCACTTCCTATCTCACATATATAGCAATAGTGGCATGATCTACTCCTAACTTATCTTTTAGCGAAGAAAATCAAGTATTTTGGTTAACCCTTGTGCATCACCTGCCATCGTCCCAGCTTTCTCCTGGTCTACCCATCCAGGTGTGTAACTGCCCCCAAAATCGATAATCCAGGCATTGTCATCCTGATCGATCAGGACGTTTTCAGCCTTGGCATCGCCCCAGACGATGCCTTTGCAGTGTAGCTGCTTCAGAGATGTACTGATCTGTGTTCTCCAACGTTTCCTGATCTCGGATGTACTCTGGTTTGCTCTTGCTCTTGACAGCACTCCTTTCTTCTCGATCCAATTGAACAGCATGCCCATCAAGTTGTTCCCGTCTCGAACAATGCCGTGTAGGCGACAGATCCATGCGTCAGGGGCAGGAGGTATCTGCGCCGTAGCAATTTCGTTCAATCTCGCGAGTTCGCTCCTGGCATGCGCTTGACCGAACGAGAGTCCAAAATGTTTGAAGTAACACATGACCTTATCACCATTTCCCGCATCAACAAGAACCTTAGTCGGTCGTCTTATCAAGACATCTTCAGGGCGATCGTACAGTATCTCGACATCAGAGGGATCGTAGGATCGAGCCCACTGATCGAGATTCCCAAGCAACACATCGTCAGCAACCACAACGGGGCTGCACCATCCATGACTCTGATTCTCTGCCTGATACGGGTGTGGGACATCGTCGGTGGCATCTAGGCCGCAAACGATGTGCGGGGGGAAAAGATACTGGGATAGAGTTGGCAGACTACCGTTAGGAAGCACTGGAGACGGCGGCGCCAGCTGGGTGATGAGAGGCTCGAACATTCTGGACAGCCAGTCGCAAGCATCTTCAACATAGAAATCGTCCTGCTCGTCTTCCCCAGACCGCAGCAGTTCGAGGCATTTGAAGTACTGCTCTGTGATTCTGGGCGACCGATGAAATTGCGATGGGGAGATTGTGCAATAAAAGGCTCGTCCGTTGTTGGTTCGAATGATGAGGTCGCAATCGTCTTCCGTTTCGTGTATCTGCCAAAGAGCAACGTCGTATCGTAGTAGGTTCTTCATGGCGATGATTCTCCTGACTTGCGGTGAACTCAAGACGAAAGAAGTAGGTTAAATAGAAAACGCAGGTAATTGAGGGGGATCCAGCATCAGTGCTTCCGTTCTTGGTGCGTTTATCTGCAAAGAAAACTGCATGCTGGTGGTCCGTGCACGAAATCTGATGCATCATTTACTGAAATGTCCGCAGCGGCACCGTACGCGAGCAAATGTGTGTTCGTGACAGCGGCGCAGCAATAGAAGCACAAAGGTCCTGGGCGTCTCGCTGACCCCAATTGTGACCACTTCGCTTATGTCGGCGTATCGCTTTTCGTCAATTGATATGTCAGCGTCTGTCCATACAATGGGCTGGATCTGCCCTGTCTCCTTTTGTATATGACCCTATGATCCCCCCAGCACTAGTGATGATGAATGGTGCTAACTTAGCATGCCCACTCACCAGATCTACGCCGTCTCCAAGCTGTCAGTAACTACGCCATTGAAGTTAGGTCCCAATACGGCAGATATGTGTCAAGCGTGGAGGTACACCTTCACATGCGGACACCAGAGCGGAGAGAAGTGGTACGACCCTGAGAACGCCGAGGATTGCCCAGAGGCGGTGCGTGCCAATCGTCGTCACAGGCAATATGGAACGCTATTGCGCTGTAGCCCCTTATCGACTGCATCCGTGTCGACGCAAGGTGTTTGTTCGAGGGACAAATGCTATGCCAAGGAGTACCTCATACCCTACGGTTGGTGGTGTCATTATTGTGGTTACATGAACAATGCAGGGGTAAAGCATTGTGCAAATCCTCAGGCCGGTCTCAATCAAGGGCCATGCCGGCACAACCCTTGTCGTCACTGTCAAGTAGATGACCCTGCCCAATGATAATCAGCAAACTATCTTGATAACATCACGGTCAGTACATCAGAGAGAGTTGGCAGCTCGAAACAGATGCTATTCTGGTAAATTCCCCTAGTCTGACCTATCAAAGATAGATAGCACACGCTTACCAAATGCCTTCCGTCTCCTGTCGCGCAAGTCTGAGCCTTTGCCATTTAGACTCTGCGTGCCGAGCCGCCAAGTCCATCCCAGCATAACGCGGCTTCAGGCCTCGACAGCTAGGCTATCATTGACTAAGACGTTGTCCTTAAGGATATCCTCGAATCTGGACGTAACGAAGCCCCTACATTTCCCTACAAAAATCCCTCCAACATCCGACGTTACCAAAGCTTCAAGCGCTCGCCAATTCAGTCACGCCGTCTCTGCCAGCAACTCGACTTCAACATTAGTTGCCGAGACAACAGCAACATTGAAATGGAAAAATAAATCGACGCCTCATAGACGCATATGGCTCATGGCGGATGAAAGAGTGATTCCAGTCGTCGTGAATAAGTGGGCAACCTGTCGTCCTATCAATTTAGAAATAGTTCCATTACGAAAGGCCATCTAGTACGAAACAAGCCAGACATCAAGACGTTGAACGCTGCAATTGCGGTCGTTTAGTGTCGCCACATTGACCATTACTTCCTACTATACATTTGCCCCTCAATGGAGACTAGTTCTTTGGAGCCCTCAAGCAGTACATCTCACATCGTACAGACCACATTAAGGACGGCCTCCTGCTGTGTAGCTTTGATGTATCTCGACATGTGACACGCCACGGAGTCTAGTTCTTTCGTGAGTGACTGCGTCAGTGTCTGTGTTGGTGCTCGATTGGTGCAGTCAAACAGAGGCGTTCCGACCCGACTGAGAAACAAGACATGCTTGTATACGCCACTATCATGTTACAACGGCAGGGCTGATCTGTCCGTCCCAAGCAGACGGGAACATGGCGGCGATGGAAATAAGGGTCTCGAAGCGAACGAGCGGGAACTTGAGAGTTGATCCCACATCTCCTCTTGCCTCGGCGCGAAGTCATCCTATGGGACGATTCATCGAAGGGAAAATCCAGCCGGTCGGGTTGATCGTATCGGCTTGCGTAGTTAAGGTGCGATCGGTCACCACCTGAATGGCGAGGCTGAGCGAGTAACAAGATGCGAGATACTTTTGAAGGGTCTGTGGTTGTGGATGAAGACTTTGCTCCTGGGATTTCCGTTTTGCTTGTCTGCCTGGGCCATTTCGAGGGCCAAGACGATACCTTGCAGCTCTCCTGCGTAGACTGTTGATGTTGTATCGTCGCCCATGTGGGTTTTGCTGGTTTGCTGTGTGGTTGCGCAGACTGTGGCGGCTCCGATGTGACCGTCGATGCCGCTGCCGTCTGTGTAGATGTGTGTTGCGTCGGTGTTCTGTTTCAGACATCGTTAATGTTCCTTCTCAGCCTGCTTCGCATCTTCGCCGATATGGATGCGCGGAACCTGCCACCATGGGAGAGCCACGAAGGCGGTATGCGCACATTTGTTGTTCGACTGGCAAGAGATGCATCTTTATATCGAGTGCTGGAAACGAGGTCGCTCTGTACGCTCCGCTTATTGCACTGGCTGCTCGGGCTTGAAGCCTTTGCAGCCTATTGAGTGTCCTCTTGGTGTATCCTTTCTCTCCATATCCACTATTGGACCACAGCCAGCACTCGCACATCATTTGCGGTATGGCGACTCCTCGTCGACGCGTTGTTTCCACTTGAGGGCTGACTCCATGACGAGGTCGAGGTATCTACAGGCTGCCTTTGGCACGACTTCTCCCCATGGGCTCTGGAGTGTCGTGTCTGTATCGAATTTGATTTTCGCTCGTGTGAGATAAGCAAGCTGAACTTTTCGGGTGCGAAGATAAAGGCATGGGTGATGGCTAATGTCTCAGGTTTCTGAAGCCCTACTTGGAGTTTCTGGCAGGTTTCGTCAGTGATATCCCCCCGCTGTAAGGATCGCTACGTCAACAATGAACCCAGTGGCTGTCGTGTCTTCGGCTTCGTTGCAACTGTCCAAGAGATCTTAGTTGTAGAAGAGGTAGAGTATTGGCGATAGGGGAGATCCTTGTGGGATGCCGGTGTTGATTCTGCAAGATTCGGAATGGAATCCGTCTACGTCGATCTCGGTCTCTCGGCATCCGAGGAAGCGGCAACCCAACGCACCGTTCCTTCGTCGAACAGCCTCTTCCTCAGGTTGTGCAGGAGCCGGCAATGCGAAACATTGTCGAAGGCCCCTGACACATCTAGGAGGAGAAGGCTTACTGCCATTCCCTTTCCTGAGCCTCAGGCTTCGTATATCTTATCCACGATCTGATGCAGTGCGTGTTCAGTCGACCGTCGTTTTCTCCCGCCCATGTGGCTGTCTGGCAGTAATCCGTGTGTTTCGGCAAGGTAGCTCGATCTTTTTGCTACGATAGCATCCATGATCTTGCCCACCGTGTTCAAGAGGGCGATTGGTCTGTATGCTTGGGCACTGTGTAGTTGTCTTTGCCTGGCTTCCTCAGCACCACTGTGGTGGACTTCTCGAAGTGTTGTGGGCAGTATCCTAGTCGGAGACTCTGGTTGAATATGCGGGCGAGATGTGGTACAATCCATGGCCTCGCCACTTGGAGTGCCAGGTTAGGGATGCCGTCGGGGCCCGACTACTGAAGATCTGTCAGCCGAACAGTCGTCCGTCCCACTCCTTCACGGGCGTCCGTTCCTTATCTTATCGTGTGATCCAGGTCACGTGACATCCCCGAATCTTTCCGTTCCCAAGAGGAGTCACCTGAGTCCCGTACTCCGCACATAT